TTGGGTGCATATATATTTAGGACAGTTAAACCTTCTTGTTGTATTGAACCCTTTGTCATTACATGCTCTTCTATTTTTTGTCTTTTTTTTTTTTTTGAAACGGAGTTTAGCTCTTGTTACCCAGGCTGTAGTGCAATGGCGCGATCTCGGCTCAGCGCAACATCCGCCTCCTGGGTTCAGGCAATTCTCCTGTCTCAGCCTCCTAAGTAGCTGGGATTACAGGCACGCGCCACCACGCCCAGCTAATTTTTTGTATTTTTAGTAGAGACGGGGTTTCACCGTGTTGACCAGGATGGTCTCGATCTCTCGACCTCGTGATCCACCCGCCTCAGCCTCCCAAAGTGCTGGGATTACAGGCTTGAGCCACCGCGCCCGGCCTTTAAATTTATTTTTATTTCGATGGGAATTTTTTAAACTATTGTTCCCCTTTCCCTGGGGGTGTGACTGTGGAGTATGTAGGGTGGGGTCTTTTGGCTTCGCTTCTGTAGATAGCCAGGTGCCCTTTTCTCTGCAGGTTTTCTATTGGACGGTGCAGTTTCACCTGCAGGCCAGTAGATGGTGCACATGGGTAGTAGCCAGCTGGGGCACACGCAGACGGTGTGTACTCGGCGTTTGTTCACTGTGAGGTGCTGTCTGTTGCCTATAGTGTTGGGCTGGAAAATGCAATGCCTGGTTCCCTGCGCTTCCTGTTTAGCAGGGATTGGGGAGACACAGCTGGACTCCCTGACTTGCCCACGAATACCCCAGTGATGAGCGGGCACCAGCCCTGAGAGGAGTGGCGAGAGGAGCTCCTTGTGAAGTGTGCTGAGGTCTCTGCAGGTGTTGGGTGAGAGAGCGAGCTGCACCAGCTCCACATCCTAGTTAGACAACAGTGTGCCCTGTTACCCTATCATGCCACAGTCCCAGGGCACATGACTCGCAGCTCGGATGTGCTTCATTGTCCATCCGAAGGCCTCCGTGTAGCTGAGAGGCACAGAAAACACCTGTCCCATGGCTCTCCACAGGAGTGGTTTCAGGACAGAACCTCTCCACTCAGCCCAGTACAGACGCTTTATGGTCCAGCTATTCTCTGATGTGGTAATGCTGCTGCTTCATGTAGAGACGGGGAAGGGCTTCATCTTTTGGCACATGTGAAATAGATGTCAGTTGTGGTGGTGTTGGCAGCTTGAGTTGCCCTGAGCTCAGGTCCTGGTGGGAGTGGTCAGTGCCAAGGGTGTTGGATAATTCCCCAATCCCTACATTTTCTCACTTCATTAATTCCAAGCTAACCACATCTTTACTCCTTAAAAAATGCCGAGTGTGTTTTGTTTTTTATGAAAAAACTTGGTATGTCTGCACCTTCTGTTTCATCTGTGTGAAATAACCTTCCTCCAGATTTTCACATGGCCTTCTCATTTATTTCATTCAGGTCTTCATTTAAAAATTACCAATATCCGCTGGGCGTGGTAGCTCACGCCTGTAATCCTAGCACTTTGGAAGGCCGAGGTGGGTGGATCACCTGAGGTCAGGAGTTGAAAACCAGCCTGGGCATCATGGTGAAACCCCATCTTTAAAAAAAAAAAACGGCCGGGTGCGGTGGCTCACGCCTGTAATCCCAGCACTTTGGGAGGCCGAGGCGGGTGGATCATGAGGTCGAGAGATCGAGACCATCCTGGTCAACATGGTGAAACCCTGTCTCTACTAAAAATACAAAAATTAGCTGGGCATGGTGGCACGTGCCTGTAATCCCAGCTACTCAGGAGGCTGAGGCAGGAGAATTGCCTGAACCCAGGAGGTGGAGGTTGCGGTGAGCCGAGATCGCGCCATTGCACTCCAGCCTGGGTAACAAGAGCGAAACTCCGTCTCAAAAAAAAAAAAAAAATGACCTATGCTTAAAATTATTCTCTGATGGCAGGTCAAGGGGAAAATGTATGCTTTTCTCAAAGAAAATGTTACTTTTCTATTACCGTCTCTGGTGATGTACAGCGACATCTAGTGGAAGAACCCTGGTATTGCACTCCATTGGTGTAACTGACCAGTATCAAACTCAGTTTGGTCTATAGGACCCCCACGAACGGTGGTCATCTTAATACTCACACTCTAGCTCTGTATTTTAAATCTTCTTGTAAAAATTATCTCTCTTCAGCTAGAAGCAACCAAACTCCAAACGGTGCTGTGAGCAGAGCGACACAGGACACACCATTCTTTCCAGAACCCTTGGATCAACCTCAGGAAGAGGACCGACTGCTCAAGTAAGTGATGATTTTTTATACTGAGATACAGTTTGTGGTGTATATATATATTTATTATATAAATATATTTTTATAAAAATAATTATATATAAATATATTGTTACATATTTATATATAAATTATATATAAATATATTTATTATATAAATAATTGTTGTGATAAAATTAGTAGCACCTAACATTGATGAAATACCTGCTAAGTGTAATTAGAAAATGGTTTCATTGGCCAGGCACGGTGGCTCATGCCTGTAATCCAAGCACTTTGGAGGTCAAGGCTGGCGGATCACCCGAGGTTGGGAGTTCAAGACCAGCCTGGCCATCATCGTGAAACCCCATCTTAAAAAAAAAAGGGGGCCGGGCGCGGTGGCTCAAGCCTGTAATCCCAGCACTTTGGGAGGCCGAGGCGGGTGGATCACGAGGTCAAGAGATCGAGACCATCCTGGTCAACATGGTGAAACCCCGTCTCTACTAAAAATACAAAACATTAGCTGGGCATGGTGGCGCATGCCTGTAATCCCAGCTACCCAGGAGGCTGAGGCAGGAGAATTGCCTGAGCCCAGGAGGCGGAGGTTGCGGTGAGCCGAGATCGCGCCATTGCACTCCAGCCTGGGTAACAAGAGCGAAACTCCGTCTCAAAAAAAAAGAAAGAAAGAAAGAAAGAAAGAAAATGATTTGATTCACAAAGGCTCCAGCCTGGGCTGAATTTCCAGCTAAAAGTGCTGTTTTAAAGCTTTAAAATGATTCTACTTCCATAGTTTGCGACATGAGTGATGTATGTTTTGCTGTGGTAAGAACGTGGACTGTAACTCCCCCTCCCTGCAAGAGTGTTATGTCACACTTCATTAGACCACATATGTGAGTAACTGACCTCAACTACTAGACTCCAAAATACATATAAACCCAAGATTTTGACAGACACTTTGAGAGGTCAGACTGTGGCCAACCCCTACTGTGTTAGCCTTTGGGCTCATCTCTGAAACCTCATTCTGCCAACACACAGCCCATGGGTGCTGAGGGACCTAAGGCATCATTTGTCTCTCTGAGAAGATTCCTCATAAAGGGACATCTTGAACTTCGATCAGATTTTACTTTCCACAGAGGCCTGCTTCCATCTTAACGGAGCAACTAGACTTTGATAATTGGATTCTATCAAAATTGGAGCTCACAGCCGGGCGCCGTGACTCAAGCCTGTAATCCCAGCACTTTGGGAGGCCGAGGCGGGTAGATCACGAGGTCAAGAGATCGAGACCATCCTGGTCAACATGGTGAAACCCCATCTCCACTAAAAATACAAAAAATTAGCCGTGCATGGTGGCACATGCCTGTAATCCCAGCTACTCGGGAGGCTGAGGCAGGAGAATTGCCTGAACCCAGGAGGCGGAGGTTGCGGAGAGCCAATATCGCGCCATTGCACTCCAGCCTGGGTCACAAGAGCGAAACTCCGTCTCAAAAAATAATAATAATAATAATAAAAATTAAAAAATAAAGCCCCTTGCTACATGGGCGGTAGACTCATGCCAAGCAGCCACAGCCCTGTGCTGGACACCATGTATAGCCACTCACTAACCAACATTATTTCTGTAAACCAATGAGAATTCCTACCAAAAAACTTCTGCAGGCATGTCATTCAATGCCTCTGCAGGTCTCTGAAGCTCTTGGAAAGAGGGTAGCTCAACTCTGCAGCTAGTCATCCAATCCTCCATAAATTATCTGTAAATCTTACGATATTCTAATTAAGAAACAAATAAAAACAAGTGTTACCACTTTGTCTTCTGTTTTCCTGTAGCTGTGCCTGCAGAAGTTGGTTCCATGTCATTATTTGTCCTGAAAACAGAGAAAGCCCCTACAGGGAAAATCCATTTTGGATTTTCACGTCCTGAGTTTCAAATTCTTGTGTATAAGTCCCCTCTTACTCTGAATCATGGCTGGCCTGTGTGACGAATAGAATATCGCAAAAGAGGCCGGGCGCAGTGGCTCAAGCCGATAATCCCAGCACTTTGGGAGACCGAGGCGGGTGGATCATGAGGTCAAGAGATTGAGACCATCCTGGTCAACATGGCGAAACCCCATCTCTACAAAAAATACAAAAAATAAGCTGGGCATGGTGGCACATGCCTGTAATCCCAGCTACTCAGGAGGCTGAGGCAGGAGAATTGCCTGAACCCAGGAGGCGGAGGTTGCGGTGAGCCAAGATCGCGCCATTGCACTCCAGCCTGGGTAACGAGCGAAACTCCGTCTCAAAATTTAAAAAATAAAATAAAATAATATTGCAAAAGAAATAAGGTGTGATTCCAAGATGAAGCCATTAAAGTCACGGAAATTTCCACCTTGGTCTCTCTTAGATCACTTGCCCTCGGCCAGGCACGGTGGTGGCTCACACCGGTAATCCCAGCACTTTGGGAGGTCAAGGCTGGTGGATCACTTGAGTCCAGGACTTTGAGACCAGCCTGGGCAACATGGCAAAGCACCATCTCTACAAGAAATTCTTCAAAAGATAACTTAATCTGTAGGAAGTCAGTTCTCTTGTCCTGAGTGTATTTAGGCAACCCTGTTGAGACTCCTACATGGCAAGAAACTGAAACCTTCTACCAGCCGATAGCACAAACTTGCCGGCCCTCTGAGCCTGCCGCCTGGGAGTTATTCTCCAGCCTCAGGCAAGTCTTCAAATGACTGCAGCCCTTGCTGCCGTCTTGACTGCAACCTCTTAGGGGACTAGACACAGGAACACACAGATAAGCTGCTTCTAAATTCCCTCCCCACAGAAACTGTGAGAGATAATACGCATTTATTGTTGGTTTAAGCTACAGAGTTTTGGGGTACCTTGTGAGCATTTCTAGATTCCATATGGCATTCACCCTTTAGTGGGTCATCATTGCTTGTTCTTGAATCAGGACACACATGGAATCACTCTGTTCATCTCCAAGTCACAGAAGGCTGGATCAGCCCTGTCGCTAAAAGGATTTGTGGTGGAATCATTTGGTAATGGCAATTCTGAAGGTGAAGTCTGAAAAATGTAAGTCGATTTTGCCATCTTCTTGAAATCTTTAAACAAGGTGGAAGACCCTGGAATGAAAAAGGATTATATTTAATCCTTAGGATAAAGATTTTAATTATGGGCCGGGCGCGGTGACTCACGCCTGTAATCCCAGCACTTTGGGAGGCCGAGGCGGGTGGATCACGAGGTCAAGAGATCGAGACCATCCTGGTCAACAAGGTGAAACCCCATCTCTACTAAAAATACAAAAATTAGCTGGGCATGGTGGCGCGTGCCTGTGGTCCCAGCTACTCAGGAGGCTGAGGCAGGAGAATTGCCTGAACCCAGGAGGCGGAGGTTGCGGTGAGCCGAGATCGCGCCATTGCACTCCAGCCTGGGCAACAAGAGTGAAATTCTGTCTCAAAAAAAAAAAAAAAAAAAAAGATTTTAATTAATACTATTATCACCACAAACATTTGTAAATGTCAATTGGAAGACGATTTACTTCTCTTTTCTTTGAGACAGGGTCTTGCTGTGGACTCAATGTATTCACCCAGGCTGGAGTGCAGTGACGCAGTCACAGCTGCCTGCAGCCTCACCCTCCTGGGCTCGAACACTTCTCCCACCTCAGCCTTCCAAGTAGCTGGGACTACAGGCATGCATCACAACACCCAGCCAATTTTTTTGTGGTTTTGTTGAGACATGGTTTCACCATGTTGCCCAGGCTGGTCTCCAACTCCTGGACTCTAATCATCCACCCACCTCTGCCTCCCAAAGTGCTGGGATCACAGGTGTGAGCCATCACACCTGACCTGAACGACTACTTTCAAGAGAATCCAAGCCAGGCACAGTGGCTCACACCTGTAATCCCAGCACTTTGGGAGGCCAAGGCAGGTGGATCACGAGGTCAAGAGATCAAGACCATCCTGGTCATCATGGTGAAACCCCATCTCTACTAAAAATACAAAAATTAGCTGGACATGGTGGCATGAGCCTGTAGTCCCAGCTACTCGAGAGGCTGAGGCAGGAGAATTGCTTGAACCCGGGAGGCAGAGGTTGCGGTGAGCCGAGATTGCGCCACTGCACTCCAGCCTGGCGCCTGGCAACAGAGCAAGACTCTGTCTCAAAAAAAAAAAAAAAAGATAATCCAATGTAACATACATTTTCTTCAATAAGATTACACATGCTAATAAGGGAAAGGGGAATATCTCAAATACAGTAGAACCAATATATGTTGTGGTAACAAGAACAATAATGATGATAAAGCCAGACACCATGACACATGCGTGTGGTTCTAGCCACACAGGAGGCTGAGGTCAGAGGATTGCTTGAGGCCACGAATTCAGAGTTTGAGGCTGTGTTATGCTGTGAGGGTGCCTGTGAATAGCCACTACATCCCAGCCTAGGCAATGTAGTGAGACCCTGTGGGTTAAAAGATAACAATAATGGTCGAGTGCAGTGCCTCAGACCTGTAATCCCAGCACTTTGGGAGGCCGAGGCAGGTGGATCGCCTGAGGTCAGGAGTTCAAGACCAGCCTGGCCAAGATGGTGAAACCTCATCTCTACTAAAAATACAAAAATTAGCTGGGCGTGGTGGTGGACACGTATAATCCCAGCTACTCAAGAGGCTGAGGAAGGAGAATCGCTTGAACCCAAGAGGTGGAGGTTGCAGTGAACCAAGATCACGCCATTGCACTCCAGCCTGGGCAACAGGAGCAAAACTCTGTCTCAAAATGATAATAATAATAAAATAAGAATAGCCGGGCACGGTGGCTCAAGCCTGTAATCCCAGCACTTTGGGAGGCTGAGGCGGGCGGATCACGAGGTCGAGTGATCGAGACCATCCTGGTCAACATGGTGAAACTCTGTCTCTACTAAAAATACAAAAAATTAGCTGGGCATGGTGGCGCGTGCCTGTAATCCCAGCTACTCAGGAGGCTGAGGCAGGAGAATTGCCTGAACCCAGGAGGCGGAGGTTGCGGCGAGCCGAGATCGCGCCATTGCACTCCAGCCTGGGTAACAAGGGCGAAACTCCGTCTCAAAAAAAAAAAAAAGAATAAAAAATAAGGCCAGCCGTGGTGGCTCACACCTGTAATCCAAGCACTTTGGAGGCCAAGGCGGGCAGATTACCTGAGGTTGGGAGTTCAAGACCAGCCTGACTAACATGGTGAAACCCTATCATTAAAAAAAAAAAAAAGAAAAAGAAAAAAAGAATAAAAAATAATAAAATGTAATTAACATGGGGACCACATATATCTTAGATCAGTTTATCCAAATTCCCTTCTCCTACTTACTTCTCACAAACAGGTTATCTTGTTCTTAGGTCGAGGTGCTGTTTGTTTGATGCATAATTTTCTTTTCTTTTTTTTTTTTTTTTTGAGACAGAGTCTTGCTCTGTCGCCAGGCTGGAGTGCAGTGACGCAATCTCAGCTCACTGCAACCTCTGCCTCCTGGGTTCAAGCAATTCTCCTGCCTCAGCCTCCCAAGTAGCTGGGACTAATTTTTATATTTTTTAGTAGAGACGGGGTTTCACCATGTTGGCCAGGATGGTATCGATCTATTGACCTTGTGATCCGCCCGCTGCAGCCTCTCAAAGTGCTGGGATTACAGGTGTGAGCCACTGCGCCCAGCCACATAATTTTCTTTTTTTTAGAACTGGCACCTCACTATGTTGGCCAGGTTGGTCTCAGGCTCCTGGCCTCAAGCAATCCTCCCATCTCAGCCTCCCAAAATGCTGGAATTACAGGCATGAGCCACTGCACCCAGCTGTTTTTTGAAACAGGGTCTTGCTATACCACGCAGGCTGGAGCATATTGGTATGATCATAGCTCACTACAGCTTGCAAGTGAGCTTCCTGAGTAGCTGGGACTACAGGTGTGCAGCACCACACCTGGCTCTGAGATTTTTCTTAAGAGGACCTAGCTAGCCGGGCACGGTGGCTCAAGCCTATAATCCCAGCACTTTGGGAGGCCAAGGCAGGTGGATCACGAGGTCAAGAGATCGAGACCATCCTGGTCATGGTGAAACCCCGTCTCCACTAAAAATACAAAACATTAGCTGGGCGTGGTGGCGCGTGCCTGTAATCCCAGCTACTCAGGAGGCTGAGGCAGGAGAATTGCCTGAACCCAGGAGGCGGAGGTTGCGGTGAGCCGAGATCGCGCCATTGCACTCCAGCCTGGGTAACAAGAGCAAAACTCCGTCTCAAAAAAAAAAAAAGAGGACCTAGCTAGTTAAATAACTGAATCTCAATATAAATGTCAAAAAGAAAGTAAGGGCCGGGCGCAGTGGCTCAAGCTTGTAATCCCAGCACTTTGGGAGGCCGAGGCGGGTGGATCACGAGGTCGAGAGATCGAGACCATCCTGGTCAACATGGTGAAACCCCGTCTCTACTAAAAATACAAAAAATTAGCTGGGCATGGTGGCGCGTGCCTGTAATCCCAGCTACTTGGGAGGCTGAGGCAGGAGAATTGCCTGAACCCAGGAGGCGGAGGTCGCGGTGAGCCGAGATCGCGCCATTGCACTCCAGCCTGGGTAACAAGAGCGAAACTCCGTCTCAAGAAAAAAAAAAAAAAAAGAAAAGAAAGTAAGAATCAAAATTCTCGGGAAAGAACTTTAAAGACGGATGTTTCTTTTTGCATCGGCATCTGTGTCCCTGAAGTAACTCACTAGAATTATGCAGTGCAGCTCCAGTGCATACAGCATCATCCACAGAGGTGGATGTCGTGGCCAGTGAGCTTCTTCCCCAGGTGGGTAGTTGACAAAATTCCTCCAGCAGTGATAATACTCTAAGGAAACACAAATCTTGGCTCATTCAACAAGCAGAATGGTAAATTACTTAAAAAGGGCCCCAACCTAGTTTACCATATAGAAAACCTCTAGTCTCTGGTCTAGTTGCTGCTGGACATTAGGCTCCCTAAAAAGAATAAAGTAGTCTATTTAAAGATGGCTGAGAGGCAAGACCAGAGAAAAGAGTTGTTGGTGCTGATGGTGGTTGTGGTGGTTGTTTTTTGAGACAGAGTCTCGCTCTGTCACCTAGGCCAGCGTGCGGTAAGACCAAACATAGCTCACTGCAGCCTTGAACGTCTGAGCTCAGATCTTCCCACCTCAGCCTCCCAAGCAGGTTGGACTACAAGTGCATGCCACCATGCCTACTGATTTTTTAATTTTTTTGTAGAGATGGGGCTGATCTTGAACGCCTGGCTTCAAGTGATCCTCCCGCCTTGGCCTCCCAGAGTGCTGGGATTACAGGCACAAGCCACCAGGCATAGCCGGGAGTTGTATTTTTGTTATTTTCCTTGTCATGAATTTCAGATCTAATCCTTTCACACATTATTTTGGACTTTTACTTCGCCGATTTCCACCCGGGGATAACCAATCTTCTGGCCTAAAAAACAGCTACTGTCACCACAGCCTCTTGTAAACAATGAAGTTTCTTTGTTGACTGTTTTACCTGATGCTGTCATAATCTGAATAGTGACTCCACTGTTAACGAGCTCCCTGAGTCCTTGCCGGTTTTGTTGATCCATGTGCTGAAAAAGCCTCGCTACATAAATCACCAAAGTCACACCAGGGTGCTGACTCAGAAACTCTCTTATAGCCTGGGAGCATTCCCAGCAGGGACTCCAGGACAGGAACCAGGTGATGGAGCAGCTGACAGACGAGTGAAAATGCCTTTCTGACGTAAATTTTTCTATAAAATTAACTTCCACGTGATTGGTGGTGTTTTTGCCTGAACTTCTCCAGATCTTCCAGCTCATGCCCCACTTGATTTCGTAGAGCAGACAGGTCTCTTTACAAAGTTCTCTGGGGTCATAGGAGATGGAAAACTCCCATGGTTCAATTCTTCTCCTGAAGTATGAAAAGTAGCCCACACTGTTATGTCATATTTAGAGAGATCTTAGAAATCTTTTTCTGCTCCCTCTTCTTTTTTTTTTTTGAGACGGTGTCTCACACTGTTGCCCAGGCTGGAGTACAGTGGCTCGACCTTGGCTTCCTGCAACCTCCACCTCCAGGGTTCAAGCAGAGGAGCTGGGATTACAGGTACCTGTCACCACCACGTGTGGCTAATTTTTTGTGTTCTTAGTAGAGACAGGCTTTCGCCACGTTGGCCAGGCAGGTCTCAAACTCCTGACCTCGTGACTTGCCCACGTCAGCCTCCCAAAGTGCTGAGATTACAGGCGTGAGCCACTGCGGCTGGCCCCTGCTCCCCTCTTCTGTCAGGCTAATCTGAGATGTAACATCTCGAGAAACTTCCTTTTCTAGTCTGTCTCAATGTTATCTGAAGAGGTCTGTTTGAATTATAATTTTTTTTTTTTTTTTTTTTTTGAGACGGAGTTTCACTCTTGTTACCCAGGCTGGAGTGCAATGGTGCGATCTCGGCTCACCGCAACCTCCTCCTCCTGGGCTCAGGCAATTCTCCTGCCTCAGCCTCCTGAGTAGCTGGGATTACAGGCACGTGCCACCATGCCCAGCTAATTTTTTGTATTTTTAGTAGAGACGGGGTTTCACCATGTTGACCAGGATGGTCTCAATCTCTTGACCTCGTGGTCCCCCAGCCTCGGCCTCCCAAAGTGCTGGGATTACAGGCTTGAGCCACCGCGCCCGGCCTATACTAACTCTTATAAGAAAGAAATTCTAATTGCTCTCAGTGATATCTTTAGATTTAACACTCTATGTCTGAAAGCCGTGACTCAAGGGAAACTCAGAATTGAGCTGCAGACTCTTCCTTGAGGTATGGTTAAGTCACGAGCTTATTACATCCTAATAGCTCTCACTCATCCCTAAAGTGTCACGTTCGTTTATTACATAGACCAGTCCTTCCACCTATCATGAGATGGTATTCCTCGGCAAGACTTTCCTGTTATATGTCTGAAAAACAGGCAGACAGTATAAAATGAAGTTAAAGTGACAAATGAGTTTCCCAGGTATTTCACTAATGGCTATAAAAGCACACGATTGAAAAAGAGAAGAGATATTGTAAGACAATAACAGACAAGCAAGCAAGAGAGTCATTTATTTAAAGAGATCAAAAGACATAAGAGCAAAGATACAAAAAAAATCATAGAGCCGGGCGCGGTGGCTCAAGCCTGTAATCCCAGCACTTTGGGAGGCCGAGGCGGGTGGATCACAAGGTCAGGAGTTTAAGACCACACTGGCCAACATGGTGAAACCCCATCTCTACTAAAAAATACAAAAATTAGCTGGGCATGGTGGCGCGTGCCTGTAATCCCAGCTACTCAGGAGGCTGAGGCAGGAGAATTGCCTCAGCCCAGGAGGTGGAGGTTGCGGTGAGCCGAGATCGCACCATTGCACTCCAGCCTGGGTAATAAGAGCGAAACTCCGTCTCAAAAAAAAAAAAAAAAAAGAAGAAAAAAATGGTAAAAAATGGCATTGGAAAAGGTAAAAATGAAAGAATGGGGAAATGACAAAACAGAAAAGGAATAATAAAGGAAGCTATATCTACAGTTCCTTTTTTTTTTTTTTTTTTTTTTTTTTTCGAGACAGGGTCTTAGTCTGTCAGCCCGGCTGGAGTGCAGTGGTGCAATCATAGTTCACTGCAGGCTTGACCTCCTGGGCTCAAGAGATTCCCCCGCTCCTGCCTCAGCCTCCTGAGTGGCTGGGACTATAGGCACATGTGCCATCATGCACTGCTCTTAAAGACCCATTTATCCTTGATTGAATTAAATGAGTACTGTGATAGTATTATTCTTACCTCAGAGTGAAATCGCCAGTGGAAGGACCTGTTGATCAAGACATGATTATGTCAAATAACACTCAAACACCAGATGAGATGCTCAGAAAAAGTGCTCTATCATTCCAAACCTGTACATCATCTCAGAAAATGGAATTTAACAATTCTCTCATAGATTAATTGTATTGGACCAGTTCATTGTACCCAAGAAAAGCAAGACTTTTTTTTTTTGAGACGGAGTTTCACTCTTGTTACCCAGGCTGGAGTGCAATGGCGCGATCTCGGCTCACCGCATCCTCCGCCTCCTGGGTTCAGGCAATTCTCCTGCTTCAGCCTCCTGAGTAGCTGGGATTACAGGCACGCACCACCATGCCCAGCTAATGTTTTGTATTTTTAGTAGAGACGGGGTTTCACCATGTTGACCAGGATGGTCTCGATCTCTTGACCTCGTGATCCACCCGTCTCGGCCTCCCAAAGTGCTGGGATTACAGGCGTGAGCCACCGTGCCCGGCCGAAAAGCAAGATTTTTAAGGGCTCTGTCAAAATCGATTTTGCCAGATGCCCAATCCCAAACATGGTAATCCTCCCTAAGGCGTCAACAAAAATTATTAAGTGCAATGGGAAAGTCACTTCGTAAAGGCTCTTAGAAGCCGGACATGGTGGCTCAAGCCTATAATCCTAGCACTTTGGGAGGCCGAGGCAGGCGGATCACCTGAGGTCAGAAGTTCAAGACCAGCCTGGCCAACCTGTCGAAACTCATCTCTACTAAAAATACAAAAATTAGCCAGATGTGATCACAGGCACCTATAATTCTAGCTACTCGGGAAACTGAGGCAGGAGAATTGCTTGAACCCAGGGGACAGAGGTTGAGTGAGCCAAGATCTCACCATTGCACTCCAGCCTGGGCAAAAGAGCAAATCCCTGTCTCAAAGAAATAAATAAAAATAAAATAAAGGTTCCTAGGTGTAATCTCTGTGTGACCTCATAGTACCCTGTACTGCATCATAGTCATTATCATGCTCTACCATGATTGTCTATTTACATGCCTTAATAACACTGAATTGTAAATTATGTGAGATACGGATTTTGTACATTTTGTTCAAACCCTATCACACTGCCTGAAACATGTTAGTTGACAATAGATTTGAATAAATTACTGAATAAATAATTAAATAAACTTCACTACTACCTACTATGAACATATTTTCCCCTTCCTTCTTTTCTTCCTTCCTTTACTCCTTCCTTCCTTCTTTCCTTCCTTCTTTAATCCTTTTTTTTTTTTTTTTTTTTTTTTTTTTTTGAGACGGAGTTTTGCTCTTGTTACCCAGGCTGGAGTGCAATGGCGCGATCTCGGCTCACCGCAACCTCCGCCTCCTGGGTTCAGGCAATTCTCCTGCCTCAGCCTCCTGAGTAGCTGGGATTACAGGCACGCGCCACCATGCCCAGCTAATTTTTTGTATTTTTAGTAGAGACGGGGTTTCACCATGTTGACCAGGCTGGTCTCGATCTCTTGACCTTGTGATCCACCCGCCTCGGCCTCCCAAAGTGCTGGGATTACAGACAGGCGTGAGCCACCGCGCCCGGCCTAATCCTTTTTTTTTTTTAAGATGAAGTGTTGCCCTGTTGCCAGGCTGGAGTGCAGTGGTGCAATCTCAACTCACTGCAACCTCCGCCACCCGGGTTCAAACGATTTCCCTGCCTCAGCCTCCCGAGTAGCTGGAACTACAGGTGCCCACCACCATGCCCAGCTAATTTTTTTTTTTTTTTTTTTTTTTTTTGTATTTTAGTAGAGATGGGGTTTCACCACGTTGGTCAGGGTGGTCTTGATCTCCTGATCTGCCTCATGATCCACCCGCCTCAGCCTCCCAAAGTGCTGGGATTAGAGGTGTGAGCCACCACGCCCAGCCCTTTCTGTTTTTAAATAGAGAAAGGGTCCCACTCTATTGCCCAGGCTGGAGTGTAGTGGTGCGGTCATGGCTGTCTGCAGCCTTGAACTCCTGGGATCCAGTGATCCTCCACTCAGCCTCCAGAGTAGCTAGGACTGTAGGCACAACACCTCGCCTGACTACTTTTTATTTTTACTTTTAGTTTTATTTTTGTAGAGACAGGGGTCTCACTACGTTGCTCAGGCTACTTTCGAGCTCCTGACCTCAAGAGATTCTCCCAACTTGGCTTCCCAGAGTGCTGGGATTACAGGTGTGAGTCACCAGGCCTAGCCCCCGTCTTTGTTTTTCTGTCTTATTTAACCTCTCTTTTTTGCGTATGCCTTAGACCTTATGATGGAATCCAATAACAATAGCATCTTTATACACTTCACAACACATTTAACCATTAAAGTATTTTGTCAGCCGGGCATGGTGGTTCACGCCAATAGTCCCAGAACTTTGGGAGGCCAAGGCAGGTAGATCATCTGAGGTCAGGTGTTCAAGACCAGCCTGACCAACATGATGAAATCCCGTCTCTACTAAAAATACAAAAATTAGCTGGGCATGGTGGCAGGTGCCTGTAATCCGAGATACTCAGGAGGCTGACGCAGGAGAATCACTTGAACCCGGGAGGCAGAGGTTGCGGTGAGCCGAGATCGCGCCATTGCGCTCCAACCTGGGCAACAGAGCAAGACTTCATCTCTAAATAAAATGTATATACATAGTTGGCCAACTCAAATATAATAAAACTCTAGTGGAACAAGCCCAGAACCTATAGTCTTAAGAAATGGTAATTCTAAGGCCAGGCGCCGTGGCTCAAGACTTGTAATCGCAGCACTTTGGGAGGCCGAGGCGGGTGGATCACGAGGTCAATAGATCGAGACCATCCTGGTCAACATGGTGAAACCCCGTCTCTACTAAAAATACAAAAAATTAGCTGGGCATGGTGGCGCGTGCCTGTAATCCCAGCTACTCAGGAGGCTGAGGCAGGAGAATTGCCCGAACCCAGGAGGCGGAGGTTGTGGTGAGCCGAGATCGCGCCATTGCACTCCAGCCTGGGTAACAAGCGCGAAACTCCGTATCAAAAAAAAAAAAAAAAGAAAGAAAGAAAGAAAGAAATGGTAATTCTATCAACATATCTGATGTAAAAGTTCTTTTTTTTTTTTTGAGACAATGATTTCCTCTCATCACCCAGGCTGGAGTGGAATGGCATGACCTTGGCTTACTGCAGCCTCTGCTTCCTGGTCTCAAGCCTCTCAATTAGCCAGGACTACAGGCGCATGCCACTGCGCCCAGGTAATTTTTGTATTTTTTGTAGGGATGGCGTTGCCCAGGTTGGTCTTGAACTCCGGGGCTCAAGTGAACCCCATGCCTCAGCCTCCCAAAATGCTGGCATTGCAGGCATGAGCCACCACAGCCGGCCTGAGGCCCAAGTTCTTTTCACTATACAGGATGGTCTCCTAGTGAAAGAGTAAACCCTAGAGGCCTAATTTTTACCAAATCAACAATTTGAGACGTTAAATTATGAAGAACAAAGCTGACAGTAAACTATTATGTTTTGTTTTGTTTTATTTGAGATGGAGTCTCTCCCTGTAGCCCAGGCTAGAGTGCAGTGGCGCGATCTCGGCTCACTGCAACCTCCGGCCCCCGGGTCCCAGTTCAAGCAATTCTCCTGCCTCAGCCTCCCAAGTAGCTGGGATTACAGGCACAAGCCACCATGCCCAGCTAATTTTTGTATTTTTTAGTGCAGACAGGGTTTCACCATGTTGGCCAGTCTGGTCTTAAACTCCTGACCTCGTGATCCACCTGCCTCAGCCTCCCAAAGTGCTGGGATTACAGGCGTGAGCCACCACGCCCAGCCCTAATATATTATATTTGACTTCACGTATTTATTTAGGAATAAGGAGAAAAATAATTCGAAGAAAAATTGGCTAGCATTAAAAAACAGAACTGAAGTAAAAAGACAATGAAAAAAGGAAGTCAGTAGAATACCACGTGTTGTCTATACACTAAACCAGACAGTTAAGGTGGAATACCTCACGTAATTTGGATTCCACAGGCATGAAACAGTTTGCATACATGCATAACTTTAGCTTTGGGTTTATCACTAGGAAAACACTGCCGAGGTGCTCAGATGACCAATCAGTTTCTGTGAAATGAAATGGAAATAGAAGAAATGGTATGACATGATGGGTACAGAAGCCTAATGTAGACGTGGGAATGGACAGCTTTGAGGGGTCTCACAGGGAGTGGTGCAGACGGTGGGTTGGAGTCGTTTGGAAAATAGGAAAGGAGGTGGCATTGGTGGGCTTTGGTTTTATGTGTGTGTGTGTGTGTGTGTGTGTGTGTGTGTGTGTGCATTGAGTGCCGGGGTTCACACCTATAATCCCAACTCTTTGGGAGGCCAAGGCAGGAGGACCTCTTGAAGCCAGAAGTTTGAAACCAGCCTGGACAACATGGTGAGACCCCATTCCTACAAAATATAAAATTAGCTGAGTGTGTTAGCACATGTTTGTTAGCACATATAAAATTAGCTGTGTGTGTTAGCACAGCTACTTGAGTGGCTGAGGAAGGAGGATCGCTGGAGCCCGGGAGTTACACGTTACAGTAAGCTATGATATGCAACTATACTTTAGCCTGGGTGATACAGTGAGACCCTATCTCTTAAAAAAAATTTTTTTTTTAATATTTTGAGAATGAGTTTCACTCTTATTGCCCAGGCTGGAGTGCAATGGTGCAATCTCAGCTCACAGCAACCTCCACTTCTGGGTTCGAGTGATTCTTCTGCCTCAGCCTCCCGAGTAGCTGGAGCTACAGATGCGTGCCACCATGCCCAGTAATTTTTGTATTTTTAGTAGAGACAGGTTTCTCTATATTGGTCAGGCTGGTCTCGAACTCCTGACCTCAGGTGATCCACCTGCCTCAGCCTCCCAAAGTGCTGGAATTGCAGGTGTGAGCCACCGTGCCCAGCACACCTGGCTAATTTTTGTATTTTTAGTAAAGACGGGGTTTCATCATCTTGGCGAGGCTGGTCTCGAACTCCTGACCTCATGATCCAATTGCCTCAGCTTCTCAAAGTGCTGAGATTACAGGCCTCAGCCACTGTGCCCAGCCGAAATTAGGT